CTGTGCTCATGTTCACTTCATCCCCTATCCACATTGAGCTGGACAGAAAGGCGTGTTAATAATCCTGTTCACAGTCGTCATGCCGCAACCTGTTTTTTGGCTCACTGAACCCCATCCTCTGGAACACCCCTCATCGACTTTGAAGTTGAGACATGATCCAGTACCCTCGCAACAAGGCTGACTTTGTCCCCGATAGCAGGCCAAACATGGCATTAAACCTGCTCTGGACAGACGATTTGTTGGAAGACACGGTCCAGGCAGGCCTTGTAATTTCTGCTTTGTCGCGGTTTTTGTGCTTCGTCTTTACCCTACCTTTTTTATCGGTCGGCTACAATTGCTATCGAGACAGAGGTTCTAGTTGGGTTAAGTGAAGCTGGACTCGGGGATAGTAAAACCTGGCTGGCTTTTCTTAATCTTGACCAGTGTGACTGGATAGATTAGATGTCCGCAAGTCGAAGCTGCAATTAATGTATTTATGCGGTGATGCGGTAAGGGCTAGATTCGAATCAGATACAGAAAGGCTGCTGTCTTATCTTTCTTTACACTGCTGGTCACACATAAGACGTCTTTACTCGTCGTCATTCTGTATGCAGTTGTTTCCATAGGACGATTTACTCACAATTATGGCCGAACTGGGTTGGATGCAAGCATACAAAAACAACTCTAATTAGTTCTGTCTTGAACAGCTCAACCATCCGTCCCCATGCCTCCCATGGCCCCTCACGAACTGTTATCCCTTTGCTCACCCCATAGACAAGTTAGGTTGGTAATTCCTTTGCTGAGCTGGTTAAGACTTCGTGTGAAAGTGTTTTATGAAAGAGTGGTGGGCCTATCTTGCCAATAGGCAGGTTTCCTTTGATCTGCTATAGTTCGAGTTCCCCGGATAAATCAGGCTGACGCAGTCCTCTAGACACCCTCCTTAAGGTTCAATGGAAACTTGCTAAATTTTCATCCTTCTCTTGGCAAACACGATCAATTCAACATCGAATCAGGCAGGCTAACTGGCTAGTCACTAGATGTTATATATACTCCAATACAAAAGTGCATTTTCGAAGGTATATAGTCCGTTGTTTTTTATGTTTATAACATTCCTCATGCATATAAGCTCATGTAAGATTAAGGATCGGAACAAAAAGAGGTCTCAGCATTGATCGAATAAGGGAACCAAACAGGAGGCCCGGGGAACTTCATCGTCGTCTTATGCCGAACTCGACTTGCAATATACTTTCACACGAAATTATATTTTGTCTATGGTATATCAGATAATACTTTTTAAAGTAGAAATTCTTCGTACGTTTACCGAATAATACTTGACTAAAGAATTTCCCAATCATAATTGATTAAAAAAAAGCTATTTTATTAGAATATTTGGAATCCCCCATCAAAATCCATGTACATGAATCTGCATTTTAATGTCACTCAACTTCTTTTTAACAGACAAGTTGAGTGGGAAGGATTTGCAGATTGCCATCACCTAAACTAAAAATGGTTGTCTTGGGGATCCTGCTGTTTATGTAAGCATCAACTTCATTTATCTGCAAGCATGCAGCATAAACATGAAGTATAATCAAAAAATGGTATGCCTTATTAAAATCGCAGCATATGATTATAAGAAATAGATGGGATTGGGGCGTTTTGTGAATGTTCTTAAAATACGGTTTCTGGCTCTGTCATGATGCGACAGATGGCAATAGCTTATAACAGATGGATTGGGATGAGAAAATTGTGTGACGAGGACTTCTTCGCGCAAGTTAACGGTCACCTATCTTTGGTTTCTGGTGCGGCCAATCTACGAATCAATTCCATCCTATTTTTCTTTGAAGTTCATGGAAGCACAGTAGCATGGAATTACTAAGAGAGCCTTCGAGCATCAATTTTTTTTATAATTAAAATTTGTATCTTAGGGCCGCTGCCTTATGACGAATGTTGTACGATAGTAACGGCACACAACTTAAGGGATTCTTCAAAAGTCAGATTTATAATCGCATACAAGTTGAGTTCTTGCAATCAGGCCTCTGGCCACAGTTTGAAAGTCAGGCAAATTTAATGATTTTAGAGACAGCATTTTAATATTTTTCTTCTTGACCATCTCAGGTCCCGTTGTCACTATGGAGTATGTTGGTGTTCACCGGACCATCTGCAACACTTGTCTCGAGGCCGTCAACTCGGCGCAGGAGGAGTTTACTACAAACGATGTCAAGTCTGACGAACTTGGGCAAAGCAGTCTCGTCTTGGTGAGCCAAAATCCGGAAGAGGCTAAGCGGTCCTTGCAAATTCTCAGTTGTCTTATCAGCATTTCGATGGGCACCGGATAACGTGGCGGTGTTACTACCTGTCTGTCTCTTTCGTTGTCTGTTTTTCTAGTCGATGCATCCTATTCCTGGCTGAGGATACCACCTTTGCGCCCATTTGACGGGACCAAGATGGACATTCAGCCTAGTGAAACTCTGTCTCAGCCGGATCCCTCTGGCTTCGTTATGCATGTTGTTCATTCTGCTTATGTGTCACCCGATGGCCGGAGGCCGAGGCGAGGAGAAATGGAGATCACCGTGTGTATGTGTGTGTCCGCTTAGGCGGCCGGAGGTCAGAAGAGAAAAAAAAACACCAAAAGGCCAGCCTCAATGAGGCGGTTCGTCCGCTCTTTCACTCCAGACAAGCACCTAGGGCATGTAAACACAAACACCTCACCAACCTTGATAGTAGACTACATTCTTGTTCCCTTATTTGCCCTTAGCCCCACCTCTCCTTTCTGCAAACGATTAATCTGTATTTTGCACTTTGATTAAACACGACATGATTTCCTTCGTCTGCACAAGAATAAGTCTTTCTGGTGCTCTATCGATTTGACGTGCTCACATTGGCCTCGTTTCCGGATTGAAAATCCGCCCAGACAATCGGTTCTCGCCAAATTTCTGGCATTCTCATGTCGAACTGTTGAAGAAGACCGACCTGACAATTAGGCATTTTGGCCTTAACCGGCAACAGCAGCTCAGCAACACGAAAGATCCCAACGCTTCGAAGAGCGTGAGCTAGACGGATATGTCGAGGCGATCGATCTGCCAGACTTAGTCACTCCACAAGTAGAGATGACAATTTTACTTGATCATTCAGGCTATTTTCGCGTTCAATTTGGCCAGCCTAGGTTGACTTCCGCCTTGATAAGACGTAGTTGGGTCTTGCATTTAAACAGGCCTGCAAAATCGATCGAGATGAGAGTGTCACAATCGATGCGTTTCGCTATGATGTCCGCAGACTGGGCCAGATAGGGAAACACGTGACGCCAAAATAGAACGGATAGTTGTCACATGGTTGATTTTATCGGCTGGGGAGATGAGCAACAGTGGAGGGTTACTTTTTGAAGGATATAATTGTTGGTAAGGTTGGGGCATTTGGAAAATATGTGATGTGTTGCCACTACAGGTTTGATCCGTAAACGCTAAATTTAAAGGATACAATGAGACAGGCAAAGCGGTACGTTAGACGTAGCAGAGGGTTGCACTTAGTGGCTGTCAGCATGAGAATGTAAAATGATGTAGTTGTCAAGTTAAATTTTCAAACGCTTGCTGCCGCATCATGTAAGCATGATGCTAACATTGTGTAGAGCATCGAGGTTTCCAACCAGTGAAGGGGATAAAAGCACATGCAGAGAAACTGTTGAGTATGAAGAAGTCAATTAAACTTTATGGAAACGAAGTTTCAGATCACCAATGCAGGGGGGACGTAAAAACTACCAGGAAATGTGATTAAAATAGCGAAGGGGCACCATTTGAGGATAAGTGTCTCAAGAATATGATCGTTGGCGTGTTCTCAGATCTGCTCAGGTTAGGCTGCCAGATGGTTGATCCGATTTCCTGGAGAATTGGGCTAACGACGATTTTAGGCCTTGAGCCCAGTTCGCCAGTCGAGCAGGGCCTGGCTCCTCAAGGCGTTGTCTTAGCACATTGAGGCTGTCACACCTTCATTTTGAACTGAGTAGGCTTTCTAAACTATGGGTAGGTAGTGAATAAGAGCTGTCGCCACCCTAAGCCACTTGAAGTTATGACGGACTGGTTGTGCATTTTCTCACAACAAGATGAACAGGCGTTGCAATGCCTTACAAATACCTTTTGGAAGCAAGGCTATGTGAAATTTAGTTTGGTTTGTGGCTTTTGAATTGTGCGAATAAGTACTGGGCGCAGCGTCCCGCGACCACGGGACTAGATCCGAAGCAAGCCAACTTTGGCTTTGGGTGAGGCCAATTTAGGAATACCTTCCACTCACCTTTTCAGCCAAGATGAAAGTTGTGCTAACATATTCAGAAAAGAATTGGGATGCACAGTATCGGCCAAGTGGCATTGATAGGCCCATAATGGATTTCAATGCCACACCGCCCGACAGTGGTTCCCGTACATGCTGGAGGAGGACAGTTCTGAAACGCATCGGGTCTACTCTTCTCTTCTAACTTAAGTAGAACCCGGGATGCATTATTTCCCAAGCAGACACATCGTCAGCCATCGCCATACAGCCTCGTTGGGAAGGTTGGGAGACGAAGGCGAGAAGGAAACCACCATCGAGTCTCGATTAAAAGCGCCTTTTTGGGAAACACAGCACGGCGAAGCTGTGTGAAGGAGAAGGTCTTCCCTTCTTCGCGTCGTGGTTACACCAACTATTGGTGCCAGAGAACACCATTGGACATTCAATCTCGCGACAAACAAGTGGAATTGAGCGATGCACTAAACCACAATCCACCATTAATGCGAATACCTTTTGGGAGGCAAGGCTACACGAACGTCGGGACATAGTATGATCTAAGCCAATAACGGATGGGAAGTTGAACAGCCACATTGTGCGACCCAGGGCTAATTCACTCCCATCTTTGCCAGTTATCCAGGCCTCGTCACTGAAAAAAGCGTCTATCAATATATTGGACTGCAGTGCCTATGCATAAAATTCTTGATACACTTTTACTAACTCTCAAACTTGAAAGAGCCTCGCTTATTTTATTCACTATAATCT